CTGTCGAAACATGCAAAGTGATTATGGGAGTACACGCGTACAGTACACGATGCTGGCAATCCCGCCATCTTTTGTCCTTGGTTTTTTGACACGCATGGTGGGAGGGCCGGGGGGCGACATGCTACCTTGTGTGTGTGCGTGTTCTGACGCGCGCTGGCGCAACTGGCGCACGTGGCACACTGGGCGCATGTGGAGCAAGTGCCGCATGTGGCGCACCCGGTGCGCATGACACACTTGGATCCATGGGGCACCTGGTGTGCGTGGCGCAGCCCGATGTTGTCCCTCACCTGGCTGGCGTCTGCATTGGTTCCCGATTGTTGTCGATGGCGGCTTCTGCCCATGCTGAAACTCCAATGCTCCTGATATGTTGGGAAAGCGCGTGGGAGTGAGCGAGACAGTTTGCAGCATTCCCGCCTGGAACTTGGCCGCTGCTCCGCATTCATAAACGCATCCCCCCTCCCCTCCCCCGCTCTACAGGCCCCCAACCAGGGTCAATGCCAACACCCACCACATAGTGCATGTGAGAGAACAGTGTCAGGTGCAACTTGCGGCGACATCTGGAGCGAGTTCGGGTGCCCCGCGATCATGTCGAACTGTGTTTTGGCAGGGACGGTGAGGGAGTCGCCATATCGTGGATCATATTGCAGATTGCCCCCGCATGTGAAGGCCCACCATCCCTGACCACAGACGAATTATTTTGCTTCGAGCGATCCCCACCGAAACCTTAAGCGTCTGATCCCGAAGGTGCGCGCGCTCATTGGAACGATGTGCGCGGGGCGCGGTGGTCGGCCTGTGATCTGCCATGTTATGTTCTGATAGGACAACAGTATGTATGCTCCACTCCAGCATAGCATGCGTTGTTATACTGTGTGGTGTTCTGACATGATATGTCATGTTATGTGATGCTGTAGCATGTCCTGGTCTGGTTTGTGCAGTTACGCTTGGATGTGTTAAGTGCTGCTTGCTTTGTCATGCTATGCAATGGTATGTGCTGTGTGCTGTGCTATCGTATGCATTGCTCTGTCATGGTTTGCTCTGTTATGTTACGAAATGGTCTGTCATGATATGGTATGTGATGCAACTGTATGTTCTGTTCGGTGGTGTGTTCTGTTCTGTTCTGTGGGGGACCTCCGCGACCGCGGTACGCAGAGTGGGCGAGTCAACGCGGGGGGCGGGACCACCAGGGATTATCGGGAGCCTGGGAATCGGGCGGCCGTGGTATGCAGGGCGGGCGGGCCAGGAAATCGCTTCTAAAAATCTAACGATCCCAACCTGCCGGCACGGGAATACATATAGCAACGTGCAAGCTGCGGCAAGTTGCTGGACTATGCGCGGGCGCCCCGCGATCACTGCGTGCTGCTTCTGCAAAAACCATGGGGATGCCCATGGATGCTGCGGTGCGTGCAACGCACGCTGCCTGCTGTGGCACGCGCCGCGCGCCGTACCGGCCCCCCCGCCGCCCCTCCGCACATGCTGGCAAGGCCTGTGGGGGGTCGGCAGGCTTCCCGGCTCCTGCTGCCACGCGTGCCCGCGCACACGGCACGCCCTGCGCGCGCGCGCGCCGCACGAGGCGCGCCTGGCGCGGGTGGAGCACGAAGCGCACTCCGCGAGCCCAGACATCCGATTGCTCCAATTTTTGTGGATGCGTGGGCCCTGGATCGGCTACACGTAAGAGTGACCCTGGGTAAGAGTGACCTTTGGTGCGCGGCCTTGGGGGGGCCGCGGGGAGGCCAAATCCAGGCGCGCTAGCCGCTGCTACCGCTTCGCGTTTGGCCATCTGGGGTCCCATCTGTGCCCGCACCAAAGGTCACTCCGGAGAAAAGTCACTCTCACGTCTAGTCGACTGGAGGTCCGGACCACTTCCCCAGGGCCGGTTTTTCGCCCCGAGTCGTTTTTGACGGTCCCGAGGCCAGGCGAGGGCCCCCCCGAGGCCGAAGATGGCTCCTAAACCGCCTGCTCCAATTTTCCTGGAGCGTCGGATCTCTGGAAAGGAAGAGCCCGCGGCGCAGCTGGCGCACCAGGCGCGCAGGGCAAGCTTGTTGAGCAGGGACCGACCGTCCCGGCATTCCTAATAGGCCTACCACGGAATGTTCTTACAACCCAGATGTGTTGTAAGAGCAAAAACAGCGTTCTTAGAACATAAACCCGTTGTGCTGAAATCAGACAGTCCTCGCCAGAAATGTTCGAAGAACATGTCGTGGAAACCACATAGAACATTGTTGAGTAACTGAGTAGGCCTATGAGCACGCCAGGACGCTTCACCACTGCTTGAGTTTGGGTCCATGGGGCGACTGGCGCACCCGGCGCGAGCAGCGCACCTGGCCTGGCACGCGCGGCGCACCGCACGAACGCCGCGCACCCTGGCGTCCGTGCTGATTCCCACTGGCTGTCCAACCCCTGGCCCACGTGCTGATTCCCACTGGCTGCCCGACCACTGTCTCCTCTCTCTCTCTCTCTCGCGCGCGCGGGAGAAGAGAACACATTGTAATGCTTTAGGGCGCAGAAGGACATACTGGCAGGGATGGAACAAAACGTTGTGTTTGTTCAATGTTCGGTTTCCTTTTCGTTTTGCCTGTCCTTCTGCGCCTCCCCGCCAAAACGGAACACAAAACATGGCCGAAATCCAGTAGCACAGTGTTTGGAGGTCCAGCCCCGATGGCAAAACCCTTCTCCGCTGCCGAGGCTCAGCTTGCCGTCGCTCGGACGTCCATTTCCCGCGCATTTTTCGGTCTCGTGCGTGTTTTACTTATTTTTGTTGCTCGATGGTCCAGGATGGTCCTCGATGGTTCTCGCCGGGAAAAAATGCACACGTCCGGGCGATGCCAAGTCGGGCGCTCCTCGTGCGGCGGGAGGGACTCTGGGAGTGAGCCGTTCGGCCGCGCATCGAGGGCGGGCCGGGCCCCTCCCCCTGCCCCCCCCCCCCCCGCTTGGACGGGCCGCCCCCCGAGGTACTGCTTGACTTAAGTCTACAAGGGGATGTCCGACGAAAAATAAGAAATACTCAAAACATACCCAAACTAGTCAAAACATAATCCAAAAATAGTCTCCAGACTATTTTGTTGGTTATCTTTGAATACTCTTCTCGGTTATCTTTGAATATTCCTCCTGTAGAGGGACGGGCCCGACTTAATGCTTGACCCAAGATGGCTCCAGGATGGCCTCAAATAGCCCACGATAGGCCCCACCTGCAAGTCGGCGCAACATTCCACCCGCTCGCACGAAAACCCGGGAACGCTCCAGGTGATCTCCAGGTTGCCACAGCGCCTCCCGAGGATGCCCCACTCTCAACATCTTCCGAGCCCACTTGAGCTTTGCATTCTCGCCGCTTCGCGCCTGGGGTGGGCTTCCGAGTCGGCACAGTGGCTCCAGTAGTGCCCCAGAGATCCCCAAGATGGGGTGCAAAGAGGGTCCCAAGACGGCCCCCGAGAAAGCCCGAGATTGACCCAAGAGAAAACGTGTCCGGGCTCCAGAAGGCAGCGCTGCACTGTTAGGGGCGCTCCTTCCCTCACGGCCAGGCTCAGTGAACAGCAAGCCGTGGTCCATAGGCATGGCACCTCGAGGGGATCCTTGGGAGGCTCTCAGAGGCCGACGCGTCTCCAGGGAGGCTCCACACAGCTCAAGGCAGCCTGCAGGATGGTCCTGGGCCAAGTCCTTCCTGCAGCTTGAAACAAATAAGTGCTCGTTGCAATGTCGCCCTTACGCTTCCGTTGGGCCTCCGAGGCCTCAAGAGGGCCCCATGACTGTCTAAGAACGCTCCAGCCCCAGAGGTCCAACTCTGCCCCAAAAGCGCCCAAGAGCGCTCCAAGGGGGCTCCAAGGAGCCGTCTGTCAGGCCAACAAGGGACAACCCTAATGGAAGCTCCCACACACACGTCATTCATCGATGCCCTGGAAGGTGGCCACATAGAAATCCAGGAGGGCCCCGAACGCTACCAACATGGCTCCAGGAGGGCCCCCCCCAAAAGACTCCAAAAGACTCTTAGAACGAAAGATCCGCGACGGTTTGAATTGTTGACTCCTGCCGTCGTCGTCGTCGTCGTCGTCGTCGTCGTCGTCGTCGTCATCGTCGTCGTCATCGTCGTCTTCGTCTTCGTCCTCCTCCTCCTCCTCCTCCTCCTCGTTGATGTCGTCGTTGTCGCCCCCTTCCTCATCCATCCTCCTCCTGCTCCTAATCCTCCTCAACCTCCCACCTCCCACTCCTGCCTCCTCCCTCCTCCTCTGATTCCTCGTCCTCAACTCTCTCCCCCGCATCCTCCTTCGACGGCAGATCCCACAATCCCACTCCAGGGCATGCGAGTGTCGACTCCGAGCTTGGGCTTGACTCTCAGATCAGGACACCTCGCCGCACGATCGTCTCTGGATGGGCTTGTGCACAAGAGTTTAAGAAAACATAACATCAACTTTGGGCGCTCCCCACGGACTTCTTGGATCTGCGCCGGACCCCCTCCCTGGCGCGCGGAGCGCGCCAGGGGCGGCGCCGGAGGCGCCGCCGGGGGGGGCCCAGCGCGGATCCACGTAATCCGCGCGGAGCGCCAGAAGCTTATGTTTATGCCGCGTTTTCTTCGACGGTGGGGCCACGCGCAGTGTCAAGAACCGTTTGTAGAGGAGCAAAGTACACCGGAGAAAAAACCCAACCAGTGGATGGCTTTCGCAGAGGAGATCGACCAAAAACCCGGGAGCCCGAGAACCCAGAACCCACCGAAATCGGCCCGGAACCAATGACCGGGAACCCGGGAACCCAGAACCAGGACCCCGGGAACCCAGCCTGCTACCAAAATCGGCGGGAAACTTTCGCCAAACCTTTCAACTTCCGCTAGGACTCCTTCAGTGCAAGCACAGATTGGGGAAAATACGACATAAACATCAACTGTTGATGATCCGCACGGACCGCCGAAAATTCATGCGTGTGCTCTCTTCTGCTCTTCGGACTTGAGCGTCGGGGGCCCCAAGTGCCCTGCCGGAACCCTGGGGGGGCCACGGGATTCCTTCCCACCCCTCCGCCTTCCCCCTCCGCCTCCTCCTCTTCGTCCCCCCCCTCCTGATCGTCCGCCTCTTCGTCCGTCCTCACCTCTCCCCCTCCTCCCCCGCCTTCTGATTCCTCCTCCTCCTCGTCCTCCTCCTCCTCCTCCTCCTCCTCCTCCTCCTTCTCCTCCTCCTCCTGCTACTTCTCCACACCCTGCTCCTCCTCCTCCTCCCGCTCGCCCTCCTCCTCCTCCTCCCCCTCCTCCTCCTCCCAATGATTTTCCTTGTCGTTGTCCCCGTCCAACTCCACCTCACCTCACACTCCCTCTTCCTCCTCAAGCTCATCGTTCTCATGCACCCTCCTCCCCAACTCGGGCGCGCGCCAATGCGGACCAGGGATCCGTGAATCTGGCGGGCGGACGCTAGATGCGCGGACGGGGGCGACACATGAGGCCAGCGGGACCCGTCACGAATCCACGCGCCTCAATCCGCGCCTCCTTCTTGGTATGGTGGTCGGAATTTCTTGGTCGTCTGACCTGTGGTGTCAGACATACCGTATGCGGCTCTGCTGTACTCATGTCGGGCGAGCTCATCGAGCTATTCTCCGTTTCTTTGAGGCCAGGCAGCCCCTGGCCATAGTCATTATATGCGCTTCCTTCACCCGAGTCATCCTCCAGACCTTACCCCCGCCTCAACTCCGTCTTGGGCCATCAGGGACCCTCTGGGGCCGCCCTGGGGCCCTCTTGGGGGGCTCTTCGGCTGCCCTGGGGCGGTCTCGGGAGCTCCTTGCGCCGTCTTGGCGCGTCGGAGAGCCGAACATGCGAGAAGGTCACCATCCTTCAGACGCCTCATTGAAATCGACGATGTTGGCCTCGCTCGAAATCGGTCCCCTCCTGAGGTCCGTGCTGACCCGTGTTTCGAGGCAGGTCTGGCCGTGGCGGCGAGAGAAGCCGCCACAAGGCCCCAAGAAGGACGAGCGCACACACAGGGGAGAGCCGCCGCTGCCTCGACTGGCGGCCATCTTCGAAGCGCGACTATCTTCGCGCGGCCGCGCCGCCCCCACCCCTGAGGGGCAAAGACAGGGGGTGACTGGCATAGGGGGGATACATCGAAACTCAGAGTTGTTATGTTTATGTCGTTCTTCGTTCCCCTACCATTCCTCCCCTATCGTTGTCCCCCCCATGCCTATCCTCCCCTATCGTGGCCCCCGACCCCTCCCCCCAGAACGGGATGAGGGACTCGCGCCTCGCTCTGAGATCGCCCAGACCGCCGAGCGCGAAGCGCGGCTGGCTTCGCACCCTCGTGGTGGTTCTATCCTCCAGACCGTCGAGCGCCCCCGTCCCCAGGTGTGTCTTTTTGGAAGCTCACTTCTAACATGCACCGCCTCGGTCTAGCAAGCTTTAGTGGCCTTTAGCTGCTTTTAGTGTATTACTGTAGGCCTCTCGTGGCCTTCAATTGCTGCCTAGCGGCCTTCAGTGGCCTGCAGCGCCCGTAAGCGGTTTTAAGAGGCCTTCCGTAGCCTCTGCAACAAGGTGAGCAAACAGAACTGACAACGGCAGGTTCGTGTCGTGCCGACTTCGGCGTTGGTTTCTGACACCACGGGGATCGGTCAACCTTGAACGGTCGGCCGTTTCCAAAACGTCAGATCGTTCAACATCGACCGATTCTGGCTCGCCGGCGGCATTCAACCTTGAACGTCGTGAATGTCGGCGGCGGGGTCGCCACTGGTCGACACGACACGAACCTGCTGGATTTTGTGTGTTGAAGGAAGCTTCCAGCAAGACTCGCTGAATCGCCCACACCCCGCGCGGCATGGGACCTTGGTGGCGAGGTCGGTGCCCCGCGGGTCGGGCTGCTTGTCGGGGTGCCACTTGAGCAGCAGCCTCTTCTTCAGCCGCTCCTGCGAGGCCCCGGGAATGTACCACCACGACCACCACCACTTCCACTCCCCCTCCCTCCGCTCCACCAGATCCTCTTCCCCCCCCCCTCTCTCCTGGGAGTGGGGAGGGGGTGAGCGAGGTGGTGGCGCACAGGGGAGGCCAGCCCACCAGAAGCCTTCCACAGGAGACCCAACCCCGATCTCTGGCGTGGGAACGCCGCGCCCTCCATTAAACAAAAACCAGCGACACCCCAAGCAACTCAGGGCACCCGGGGGGCGAGCACGTGGTGCCTCTTGGCATGGGCCTCCGCTGTGCACCTCTCGGCCCCGCAGCTCCGCGTCCCGGGAGCCCCGCAGCGAGCGGCACTCCAGCTCCGCGAGGCGGCGCACCACCTCCTCGTCCGTGGGCTGGCGGTCGGGTGCGGCCAGGGGCGTCCATGGTCCAGGACCGCATGTCTCGCTCACGGAGGGCAGGACGAACCAGGCTCAGCAGCTGGATTCGGGGGCGCGCAAGCATGGATTGGCGATCCATGGACTTGGCGCGCGGTCGCCAAATCCATGGATTGGGGGGAGTGTCCTCCCCAAAATGCGGCCGGTGCCGCCCCGTTCGGCGGCGGAGATCGATTTCCCATGGAATCGAGAGCCGTCGCGAATCCACGC